TGTGTGTGTGTGCGCGCAAATTAAGGGTTTTGATTGGTTGATCTGTTAAAAACAAACATTTGCTTCGAAAATACCCACTGTCGGACTGATCCGTGATCAATTATAAAAGGCCTTAAATGGTTTCCATTTACCTCACTGATAATCATTGCGTACGCATAATAAATGTAGTAATTATGTGCAAAAGTCTAATAAAGTAAATATAACAGGACTGGACGAAACCCGCGTTGTAAATTAGTAAAATCCGCTACGTAGATACGTTAGGGTGAAATCCGCGTTTAGCTGTTTTTTATTATGCAAAAGCGAATTTCACTCTCATGTGATCTACGTAGCGGATTTTACAGCCGAGACCGTTAATATTACACACTGGTGAGGCCATCACAATTGAATCCAATTTAAATAATTTAATTTGTGATTGATCACAGGAGAGAGGGATTCGCTCTGGATCGGGCACTGTCTCTGCTGTTGATTTGACTAATTCACAGCGTGGGTTTCACCCTGTCGTAATATTACAATCATTACGTATTTTCATAATAATGTCAAGCTAGTTACGATATTTTATCGTAACACAGGACACATCCCTATAATTCCTATAATTGTGTATAATTTGATACTCAATTGATAATCTAATAATGAAAGAGCAACGATCCTAAAGGAAAGTTGTAAGTATCGTTTGCTAGTTCTTAATAATAAAAGTTGCCTCGTGTCGTGGTTGTCGTCTTTAAAGATCTGAGTAAGACGAAAGTCTTGCTTGTTGAATTTCGTTGGCATGGTGTTACGTGGAAGGACCAAAATGACGTGCTTGCTGTAATTTGCTGTGCCCGCTGGTAATTGCGTGTGATCAAACGTATTTATAACCGAGGTGTAATTTCAAGTGAATCGAGAATAAATGAAATATTGAGAATAAATAATATATACCTGAGCGGTGAAGCGAAACAAAGTAACCGATTGAAGTTGTTGGTTGAAAATATTGTGAAATAATGGTTAAGGTTGTGAAGGAATTAAAATCAGTTCAAGCAAAATAAAGGTGTTTATGTTGCGTATGTCGATGCCCAGGAATTTAGCTTGTGATTGCCTCGATCAATTGAAACATAGAGCGTCTGGAACATGTTGTGGAAATACTTAAAAATGGGGATGGTTAATAAAATGAATGAATGGAAGAAAAGGAAGAACGATACGAATCTGGACGGCAAGATCGAGGATACAGGACTCCTTCTAATCATGGAAGTAGAGAAAGGTGTCAAAGGCGAAGGGAAAACGTTCGAATGCCATCAAAAATCAGCGAACTGGACAACGCTATTGGAGCGCGCAAAGGTGGTCGTTATGAAAATGAAAATGGATTCAAAAAGTATGAACCCAAAGAATTCATCCATTATCAAAAATCTGAAAACATGAGTAATATTAATGGAACATTTAATGGTGGATATTGTCATCGTAGTGGAATTGGAGTCAAAATGAATGAAAGATTTTCATTATCAAAAAAGCCCCGATGGAACTTGTCGAAGAAGCATTTAACGTTGGTAATTATCATCATGAAAATGGATCGGCGATGAAAATGGAAAAGTATAAGGCATTCGATTATTATCAAAAGTTTTCAAACGGTCAAAATGTACTAAAGGTGATGAATTGAATGTGGAAATGATTTTGGTGATTGTGATGAGAAGAATACCAATACATAGCGCATTGGTTATTGTGATTACGGTGGAATCGGAGTTGAAAGGATTGGGCATAAGGCGTTCAACAATTTTCAAGAATTCCGTATGTGACGTTGATTATTATTATCAAGAGATCGGTGATGATAAATATGAGCATAAAGCATTTGAAGACTCTTGAAAATCCGCTGACGAGGATGGTGTTGATGCAATGGATGAAAGGAATTAGAATCGAATTGATGAAGCAGAAATAAGGTGTGCATATATGGTATCAGATGATGAAGGTGGCGCAGTTGATTCTGATGAAAAGGAAGCTTAGATGGTAAACCAAAGTTTGTTTAACGAAAGGGTCGATGTGGCCAATGTGGACAATAATCGCAGAAATAAATTGACGTTGCTGTGAAACTGAGAAAAGCAATGAATTCTTGATGAAGTTGTTTGTCCAAAGGTGCGATCAGCAAATACGAAATGAAAGGTCGCATCAAGTACCGTCGTTCAAATAGACCTACCAGTTTATGCCCAAGGTTAGAGTTATTATATATAATTCACGTGACAATAATCCAATCAAATAGCAGGGAAGTGGAAAATATCGATCATATACAAATGTATCAAAAACGAAAATATTTGTGCATATTATGGTTACACAGATCTATACGCGACTTTCACGCTCCTTTTTGTGTAACATTCTAAAATAAATATAAACATTTCTTCACAAAAGCATAACTTTGCTTTCTGAAATCCATACCTCTTTTCTCTATGTTAGAAAACACTTCTGCAGAAAAACTTCACCACCCATACTATTGGGAGAATACATTGTACCTCGAATGGGGACTGAAAAGTTGGACCAACTTCATCCATAAAACAACACCCAACAAATCACTGCAAATGTGCTGCAATTTTTTTGTTGAAGAACTAAAAACTTTAAAAGAAAATCTCACCCAGAAACACGTGAAGCAAGAAAAGTTATAGCTTTAATCCGAAGTTTAAAGGTTAGTTTTCACTAACGAAAAGTAGAAGGTGTGCTACACCTTTGCCTTGCTGACACAAGGAAAGAAGAGTGTCTAACTGTTGTGTGCTCCTTGTAAAAAAGGATTTTTACATGATTCAAAAAATATTTGAAATAGAGTCAATATAAGTATTTTTTGAGCAAAGCTAAAGATCCAACAAATTTTTTATAAGCTTTGTTCACTTCCTCTGCACATGCACATTTTACTATGGGGGATTCCTTAATTTTAGTCTGCTGATTTCCAAGAAAACATCAGCTATGTATTTTTTTATGTTAGAGATGATCTTACTCATAAATTCTTCAGTTTTACAATTTTTGTTTACAGAGATCAGAAAAAGAAAAAGAAAATCAAGAATCAAAGAAAAAACGCAAAAATGAAGGCACAATGAAATGATATTTTAAAAAAATAAGAAATGATACATAAGGGTGTGGCGACTTAGAGTAGTGGTTAAGTTGTCACCCTCCAAGCGGCAGGTCTAGAGTTCGAATCCCACCGGAG